CTACTATAGGCAGAACGCTACTATAGGCAGAACACTACTTTAGGCAGAACGCTATAATAGACAGAACGCTACTATAGGCAGAACACTACTTTAGGCAGAACGCTACTATAGGCAGAACGCTACTATAGGCAGAACGCTACTATAGGCAGAATGCTACTATATAAGCAGAATGCTACTATATCACAGAACGCTACTATAGGCAGAATGCTACTATATAAGCAGAATGCTACTATATAGGCCGAACGATATTATAGGCAGAACGCTACTATAGACATTTCACTACTATAGGCAGAATGCTATAGGCAGAACGCTACTATATAAGCAGAATGCTACTATATAGGCCGAACGATATTATAGGCAGAACGCTACTATAGACATTTCACTACTATAGGCAGAATGCTATAGGCAGAATGCTACTATATAAGCAGAATGCTACTATATCACAGAACGCTACTATAGGCAGAATGCTACTATATAAGCAGAATGCTACTATATAGGCCGAACGATATTATAGGCAGAACGCTACTATAGACATTTCACTACTATAGGCAGAATGCTATAGGCAGAACGCTACTATATTAGGATGCTACTATAGGCAGAACGCTACTATAGGCAGAACGCTACTATATTAGGATGCTACTATAGGCAGAACGCTACTATAGGCAGAACTCTATTATAGGCAGAACATAATGCTACTATAGACAGAACGCTATTATAGGCTACGATAGGCAGAACGCTACTAGGCAGAACGCTATTATAGACATCACTACTATAGGCAGAACGCTACTATAGGCTATAGGCAGAACGCTACTATAGTTAGGACGCTACTATAGGCTATAGGCAGAATGCTATTATAGGCAGAACGTTACTATAGGCAGAACGCTACCATTGGCTACAATAGGCAGAGCTTATTTGTCTGCAGGGGAATAACTTTGAAAGAGTGCATGTGCGGCTTCCCAGGAATACTGTCCCTCACCATGTTATCTGGTCATAAGTGTGAGCAGGTGTCGGGTCCAACCAGCCTGTTTAAACAGCTTCATTAAACACCGCTGTAGACAAAGTGCTTGATCTGATCAACATATGGTTACATGCAGCTAAGGTAACACACAAACACATCTGGAGAGGGATGCTGGCACGGATCAAGTCTCTGTCATCACAGAGGGCTCTCAAGGGAGCCCTAGGAACCATGGTTTTTTTTTCATCTGGTCCATTCAGAGCCAAATCGGAAAGGACAGAAGCTTTAGACATCAATACCGCAACAAATCCTAACAACTAAAATCACATTGACAGTAAACAGCACTCCATTATCTGATGCAACACTACAAGCAAAAGGTCATGAGACCAAACCCACAAAGGGATGAAATCCCTCCAGGAGAGATTAACGGGATGGTGTGGGTAGTCCACATTCCGCTTAAATAACTTCACGTCAATCAGTTTCTTTCCTCCTTCCCCATTAACCTCAAATTCATATCTGACCTTTAATTACAAAGGCTTCTCTCCAGCTAACTTTCACCCTCAAAACTTTTGGCATCTCGCACGTCCCATAATGATCTATACCATTAGTTGCCAGTCCATTAAAAAAATAAATCGATAAGCTTGCAAAAAACATCCTGCAACAACGTGCTAAAATCTCGCCCGTTCCCCTGCTGGGTGAGAAAGTTCATAAGCCTCATTCATCTTGTTTTTCTCTCCCCGTGTCTTTCTCTCACTCTCTCCTCCATCTTTTCCAAGCCCCCTAATGCCCTTGTCCAATCTCTTTCTTGCAAAAAATGGACCAATACAAATGAGCAGCTGCAATTTAGCAACAACCCAAAGTAATTAGAAACCCATTACCAGGGTCACCCAGAGACAGCGCACCCACACACACGCAAACGCAAAGAACACACTCTCTCTCACACAAATACAGAGCAAACAAACATGAATGCAGAATGAGCATGAAGTCACAGCATAACTGCACGACTGAGGCGTGGAAGTGAAGAACTGAAGCACTCAATCAACTATTTGCCATGCACTTGCAGACTTCTGCATAATCTGGGAGAAATGGGGAGAGTAGTCTTGTGCAGCCAGAATTTTGAGTATCAGCATAAAGTCTGGTACACACTGTAGATTGTTCTGGTCAAAAGGTCATGCTTTGGCTGGTTAGCATGGTCCAGTTAGCTTACTAAACGCTGATTCCAATGTACATTTACAATTTGAATATAATTAAGACATTATATATTCAATTGTAAATTAAGAAAATGAAAAGAAAACTCCTTAAAGATAAAAAAAAACACATAATTGGTTTGTCAAGACAAGCTTTTCTAAAAGACAATTAAATCAAAAATGAATGCATTAAGCTCAGGTGTATATTATACCAACACATTTTACTGTATTACAGTAAATGTTGAACCAGTGCCAGATTTTCTCCAGGTGCGACTAATTTTTCCCTGTCTGCTGCCTTTCATGTCACAGGATAATTGCTAATTAAGGGAGCCAATCAGTCATTTTTGTGTGCAATATCCATCAGACAGGACTGTAAAATGTCTAAGGGAACAACTGGGAAAAAAACAAGCCAGCACTGACAGAAACTATTTAGTACTACAATGCATTTTACCAGCAACTTTCACTGTGGTCAGCTATCTTATTATTACCGTCCTAACACTTTCTGACCCGAAGGAATGACAGAAAGATGGAGGAAATATCAAATTATGAAAACATGATGGGCAATTATGGCCAGCTGGCATATTTTATTACCTTGCCAGTGGCATGAAGCGACAGAATGACAGAGGGTAATTGATCTTAATTACTGTGCCCAAATGAAGGTCATATCATCGACACGGAGAATGAGACTGGGGGACAAAGGAAAGGCCAGCTGCATACAAATACACAGCTGAATATGATTGTCTCAGGATCAACAATACACACACACCAGTGACTAAAGAGAGAGTAATTGGCAGGAAGGGTCAGGAGGAATGAGGCTTTTGTTACTGGAGTCTGAAATGGCAAAAAAAGGGGGGATGAAGCAATATCAGGGGTAGTACTCTTAGTAAAATAAATAAATGGCACATCTCCTGTTATGGAATGGTGTTATAAATGCAAAGGTATTATTGTTTGACTATTTTGAATTAAATAAATGCAGCTTTGGTAAGAAGCGTCATTCGGAAAAAAAGGAAGTGTATGAGGGGATTTCTTTTCTGTAAAGACTACAAACCCACCCACAGGGGGTTGGACCAAATGCAAAAAATGCTAAATAAACAATATTTTTGCTCAGGTGGCGAAAAATGTCCGCCCAATAGTAAAAAGTTTGGGAACATTAGAGGGAACATTGACTGCCAACACACATTTCAGTACAATCAACTTGTAAAAGTGCATGTACCATTACTAGGGTTGGGTATCGAGAATCGAGTATCGATTGGAACCGGGACTAACTTTTCGTTTTTCCCAGAATCGTTCAAAAGTTCAAATTTCGATTCCTAGTTTCGATATTCACAGTCCGCCGAACTGAAGAAGAAACCGCTGAACAACACCAACGAAGAAGCGCCTACCGGAAGTGTTGGTATAACCGCGCGAGTCGAACATGAGTAGCTTGCGTCAGCGGTCCAAAGTGTGGCTTCACTTTTCTAAAAATAACGAAATCTCGGCAAAATGCAAAATTTGTGACAGAAGGAGTATTTCCTTCAGAAAGGATTATTTCCTTCAGAAAGGCCGTTGGTTAGCATGGTTAGCTAAACTTTTTTGACCCTGCCTCTTAAAAGAATCAGAATCGAGAATCGTTAGGAACCGGAATCGAAACAAGGAATCGGAATCAGAATCGTTCAAATTCAAACGATACCCAACCCTAACCATTACATTATATGACCCCTTTAATGGTCAAGTTTGAGATTTGAAGCGTGTGTGAAGACTTGATTCCAGACCAGTTTAAAAGCCAGCTAGATAGCAGAGCAAGTGGGGTGTAGAGTGACTCAGTATGAGGAACAGAAGGTGGCTGCTGGTGAAGGTCTTGGCATACAAGACCCACTGCTGGCTAGAGAACTGGAAATCAAGTTCATTACAGTCATATGCGTTTCCAAAGCCTCTCGCTCACAGCTGGGTTGCCATGCAATGCCAATTGCGAGCTGACAGCCTCAATTTCATGTGACAAGATGGACATTTATAATGAATAGAACCCTGGTACGTCCGCACAGGCAGACACGCTCTAGTAATTCACCGAGTCAGAACCGGCAGCAAAGATGGAAATTGTCCAGAAAAGACAGGATCACATGTATTCATTCAACTGTACATGGGTACTTCATACTTATAGCGGGAAATGATTATTAAAACTCAAATAATTAATTTATATGTTGGAATTTTGCGCACAATATAAACAAAATGTGTAAGAAATCAGCTCCCTCCTACCCACTACATTTAAACTATTACTTTTTACTCCTTCTTTTGCCTCTGGGATGAATAAGATGACAAAGCACTTCACTCCTCTCCCCAAGACACTTCTATCTGATCTTTTTACTAAAATGAGGAGGAATTTATTTTAGATACAAGCCCACTGAGAATCTTACAGGTTTCAAAGGGTCTAAGATGATGATGTCTTGCACTTATTATCATTTTTTCCCCCACACTGACATTTTAACAGCTGGAGTACAATACACATTTTGAGTGTTAATTAGTGTTATAGGGCTGCTGAACATTGCCCCACAGTTATGCAAGTTTAATTACATTTGGCCAAACAAAATGTCTTCATAAATGTCAACTAATATTTAGCAGATTCATTATTTCCCCCATCCCCCCCCCAAAAAAGAGAGATCTTCTCACTCTAAATGTCAGTCCAGACAGTCAGGTGATCAAAAATAATTTTTATAAACACTTGGCTTATATATATATATATAAAATTGTTATATAAATTATATATATATATAAAATTGTTATATAAATTTTATAGATAGATAGATAGATAGACAGACAGACAGACACACACACACACACACACCTTAATGATGTGCAGGCAAACAGAGACGAGAGACACTTACTCTGTGACCTCCTCAGTAACTGTGTGCTCCACCTGCAGACGGGAGTTGACCTCGATGAAGTAATGTTTACCATGTTTATCCACCAGGAACTCCACTGTTCCTGCGTTCTCATAGCCGACCTGAGGAAACAGAGGAAATGGATTGATCTATAAAAAAATGTAATGTCCCAATAAAAAGTCAAAAATACTATAAACATAACTTTTTTTGTTGGTAAATTGTGTGATGTCCTAGTGTTTAAAATGGCTAATTAGGTAAGTGTGGCCCATAAAGACATCAACAAGGATATATTACTGAGTAGAGCTTGCCAGATGCATTTGACATTTACAACAAACTACTTCCATATTAATTTTTGTAAGAGTTTATTTAATACATCCAATTCTCTCTCCAAAGGAAACTGGATTTGTGTCTTTAAAATAATGGGACATCAAATGTATGTAGTATTACTACTGTAAAATCTTGGTTAATCATTATGGGATCTTGCGTAAAAATGTATGAATTTTTTTATGAGAATTGTCTATTACCCTGTCACCAGTTTTATTGCAGAAATAATTATAACTGTGGTATATTTTGGTGTAAATTTGGTACATCGTGGTAAGGGCAGATTATTAGAAAGGCACAGAGACAGCAGGTTGCCTCTTACTAGGCCACAATCACATCTTGACACACACCACATAAAGCCCAATAGGAGGTTCCATAATCCTGTCCCCAAATTTCACAAGAATGCAATCCAATTCGTCCTTAGGCCTGTCTCAGCTGCCAAATATGGATACACACTACCTCTCACACACACAGTATTTGGAGAGTAAAGCATCCTTGATAACTGGCTGCCAACACAGACTGAGATCAAACAACAAACCCTTCAAATTCCTGGCTGATATTCATGCGAACACCCGCTCGAAAATCTTGCAAGCCCAGTGAGACCGCGAGAAGACATAAAGACTGTACACTCAGACTTGAACATTTATCATTCCCAGCACTTTCTCACACTCCGACACACTGAAATACGGCGAGCAGATTAAAACTATTAGACCGCCGCAATGAAAGACGAACATACACAGTGCCCACGAGAAGAAAGGTACAGGCAGGTAATTAAATGGGTAAAATGAGAGGAGGAAAGGAAGGAGAGCATGAGAGGAGGACAGATGGCATCCCACCGAGAGAACTAAAGAAGGTGAGAATCGAAGAGGGAGAGAGAGGAGTAATTATGAGTTTCACAGCTTGATACAATTTCTAATTACTTCACAACATCCATAGCATAAACCAGGTCTGCCGACAGGTTTTGACAAATGACAGGAGAGGTCAAAGATGGAGGGACTTTTTGGGTTGGTTCTCATGTAAGAGTCAAAATATGGAATTATGACTGAAAGGAGAGAGAGAAACAGAGAGAGGGCTCGAGCAGAGCTGTAACCAACACTCAGAGGGAAACTCCCAATTAAAATTAGTGGATAAATAATATGAGTTTAGAAACAGCAATAGCAGCAGATAAACCCATAATACACACACACACACACACATATATATATATTAGGGCTGTTAAAAGATTATCATCCAAAATAAAAGTTTGTGTTTACATAATATGTAAAAAATGTGGGTGCACTGTGTATAATTATTTTATATATATATATATATATATATATATATATATATATATATATATAGAAACACACATGCATGTATATTTAAGAACAAATATTATGTACTTATAAAATATTTATATTTATATATAATATAAATTATATTATAAATCTATATACAGAATATACATGAAAATATTTCTTAAAAATATACATATAAAATAATTGTACACAGTGCACCCACATATATTATGTAAACAAACTTTTATTTTGGATGCGATTAATCGTGATTAATCGTTTGACAGCCCTAATATATATATAAAATGATTAATGTCAAACAATGTCAAATGATTAATCGTGATTAATCACATCCAAAATAAAATATTAGAATGCATATTAGAATGATTTCTGAAGGATCATGTGACACTGACAACTGGAGTAACAAAACTGAATTTTCAGCAGCCATTGCAGGAATGGAATAAAACAGAAAACTTTTGTTTTCACAATATTAGTTTTTACTGCATTTTTGATTAAACATTCTTCTCAAGTAATGTTGAAGAAAATTACTTTTTTCTTCATTCTTTTGTGTATAACCATAAAACCATCAAATGTTGTTTTAACCCCATATCATTTTTGTCATGAAACACAAATCTAGAGATCTTAGGCAGAATGTTTCTCTAAGACAAAGAAAGTGGATTGTGATTTTATACTGCCAAGCTCTAAAACAAATTACAAAAAAGCAGCATTAAAATTTCATAAAAGCAGCGCTTACTTGTGCGGCTATATTGAAGCCTTTTGAAGTAATTTGACAGGTTTGTGAGGAACAATCTAAAAAATGAGTCATTGTTTACTGATAATGTTTCCTCTGGAGTAGAAATGAAACTCTACGTAAATTAATTCATAGTTGGTCACGTGAATGAGGAAAAACAATGCTGTTGCTCATCTAAATCAAACCTGGAGAAAACATTTTCTTTTAGATGTGTGAAGATGATTCTCAGTGAATAATGAATTTTTAGTCGGTTTCGCCCTCAAAAACATATGACTTCATAAGACTTGGAATATGGGTCATATGAGTCACAAACTACTTTGAACCTGCAAAAACTGTGAAAGCACTGTTAGTCTAAATTACTTTTCAAACAATAGTACCGGTAATCACATCTATTTTCCTCGTATTCAAAACATGCCCTGACAGCTTAATAATCTCTGTTGTTTTACGGAAGAAAGAACATAATATGGAGCTGTAATAATCAAATGCATCTACATTTCTCCTTTAAAGTCCCCCTGAGGTGAAAATTTAATTTGTTAGTTGGTATACGTCTATGTGGTGTTTTTAATGTGCTTTAAGACAAACCACATGCAAATTCATAAGTCAACACCATTGCTGAGCATTTTGCCCATCTCAAAAGTTAGAAATTTTTTAAACAAAAGTTTGAAATCCCTGGTGTTTCTTACGTCACAAACTACCTTATAACCCATCACGTCACGAGGGGGCGGGCTTTAGCATATCATTAACAGCGAACTAGCAGGGGAATCGGGAGAGAAGCCAGGTTATCCCTGTATATATTTTTGTCGATATAAGAAATCAAGCATATTTAGCAATATAGAGTGTGAATTATGTATATGATGCATATTACGTTATGATGAACTCTATGCCTTTCTAACTAATGTTTTGAGTTGTTCAAAGCTTGTTAGGAAGCTGATTGTTAGATGGCAGCTGTCTGACTCTGAGATGGTGAATGTGAACATGGTTTGTGAACAGCTGTTTGATAACATAGTCAAAGCCAAAGGCTAAACATATTAAAATGCACAATATGTAGGTTTTCACCACAAGAGGGCACAGTTTCCAACAATAACAAAGGTGTAGGTTGATGACGCAGTGATGAGCTGAATGATGGGACTTGCTGTCAAGCTGATGGATCTAATAATGTTTATGGATGAGTGCAAACATTCCTGTTTTTTAACATTATAACGGTATGAAGCAGGTCGCGATTGCTAAAGAGACGGACATCACACGCGACTCCCGCGGATATAAAGGAATAAGGACATTTAATTCTACCGAACTACCCGCAAGTGCTGGAATACTCACACAGGTCAGTTTATTAGACCAATTAAACTTGAGGTAATGCAGCACTGCTTCACTTGGTCTAATTTTACAGCATCACACTAAAAGGCATTTAAATGTGTGTTGAAAGTTATAATGTTATACTACGTGTTAGTTTGTTTGTTGTACGAAACTAGCAGTAAGCTAGATCAACATTCGAATAACATAACGACCATATTCTAACATTTCATCATGTTGAGCTAATGTTATATAACATTGATTTGTTTTCTGTACATTTGTTTGCCTGTCTAATAAAGCTGTCGAGTCGTGACTCGTGAAACAAGTCCAAGTTAGTTGCGGAAATGGAGCATCTCAAAAACGCCACGCGGATATTGATCCTGATTTTAGTTCTCCTTGTTTGTCCAAAGTCTGCTTGCCATGGTCTAAACTAAACGTTTCGCACTACCCAGTTGTCCACGTCTGTCGCCATGGTTACATAATGGTTATGGCAGTACGAAGCAGAAACCAAGGTTAGCTCGGATATGCGTCATTGACAGGAAACAATTTTTTCCGGGACGGCCACTTTTTAAAATTGGAATTTCTCTGAAATAAATCTTTGGAGAATTTGGGGATATTGTAAGTACACAACTGCAGGAAATATCAAAGTGTGCAATTGATTTTTGGATATTTTATTACAAAATTCTTACATATTGTACCTTTAATTACCATTATGTGCCTGACATTGCAAAGAGCGATACATAAAAAGCATTCCTATTCTGATGCATCGACTGTTATTTTAAAGGCATGAATACATTTTTTCACAGCAAGAAAACTTTTATATATGTCATTTTGGTGATCAAAGATAAGTTTTAAGGAATATGATTATTGATTACAGGGAGTGTTTAAGGCTTCTTGTACCAAAAAGACATTTTGTTCTTCACACAAGAAAGTCAATAATATGAAGGTGAGTAAAATGACATTTGGGTTCCTTTAAACAAACATTTTTTTGTAGATTCAGTTACATCCTAGCATGAACAAGACGACAATCACTGAAGTTAAACAGCGCTATGTAAATACCCTCGTCTTTTACCGATGATTAGTTCGAAAATGCTTTGTGCACGATCAACCTCAGCTTGCCTCAAACACACGCATCAGGGTTTATGACAGTGTGTGTTGACAGTGGATCTGAAACCACATCAAGGCTGTGATCCCCAACCTGTGCTTCAGGCATGGTGGGTAGAGCAGCTGTCTCCATGGCAACAACTGCCATAAAACAAAAAAAGACGTTAAAACAGGGGAGATGTTTCTGTCACGTTAAGACCATTTAATTTCCCACCCGGATGTCTAACCAAACACAACACATAAAAAAAGCTATAACAGTGACCGCAGCAATTTAAGCAGCACCCCAATGAAGAAAGAGGTCAACAAAATGTGTGTAACATAAATGATTGAGAGAGTCTTCTCACATATTTCTTCCTCCATGACAACATGGTTACCCATTTAA